ATCCATCCATCCATCCATCCATCCATCCATCCATCCATCCATCCATCCATGCATGCATTCATCCACCCATGCAATGGGCTGTCTTGAGAATAAGTTGATTCCTTCTTACTAGAGATTTTTAGGTAAAATGGTGGTGATGGAGTAGAGGAGTGTTGTTTTTAGTTACTGTTTGGAATCAGTGACTTGATTCCCTTCATCAAATAACTATCATCAAAAAAAAAAAAAACAAGCAGTGGCCTCAATATCTTTTTGGACCTGGTAGAATGTAAAGTTAATAAGAGGAAGGGACATTCTCAATTTGGGATGTGTAATCCTAGTGCCTAGCTCATAACAGGTGTTTAATAAATGATTATCGATTGATCTTATTTTCTCCAACATAGCTAAAAACAAACAAGCAAATAAAACCTTTACTGAGTCAATTGGGAAATGGTACATATTTTTTTGGACAACTTGACATTTAGTCTAATTAATAAGCTTTCGTGTTAGGATTCATCCAGTTCTCTAGTCTGTGAATCAGAGAGATGAGCTTAGTATAGACTTGTAGAAAGATTCCCTATGTGAACTGATAGATGAGACAAAACATGAACTTTTCATATGTTCACTCTCACAAGTTGCTGATGGGACCATATTCACTCCTGGATCTTGTTCCAGGTTAAGCAAAAATACTTTTTAAATACCCTTGTCCTCTTAAGAAGGCCTCTTGGAAAGTGACCAGGCAGGACCCAATTGTAACCTTTCAGCTAAAGTCTAGCTGTTCTTTACCTGAAACAAGAATCCCCTCTAGACAGCATTTCTGACAAATAGCCATGGTTTTCATCCTTGAAAACCTCCAATGAAAGAAAACTCACTACCTTATGAGGCAGAAAACTCCATTTAAAAAAAAAATAGCTCGAATTCCTAGAAACACATCCTCATATTATGCCCAGATCTGCCTCATTACTATTTCTAGCTATTGGTCTTAGTTCCATCCTCTAGGACAGGACTAGGGAGCCTGCTCTAGGATAAGAACAACCCTTCAAAATCTGGATGACTGCTATCACCTGTCTCTTTACCCATCTTCTCCTCCCCTCCCCCCAGTAGGCTTGTTCTTCTTCAGGCTAAGACAACTATACTTTCAACCAGACCTCACATGCCATGATCCCCTATTATCCCATCTTCATTATCTCCGTCCCCTTCCTCTGGACCTGCCGATGTCCTTCCCAATACGTGGTACCCAGAGTCAAACACAACAATGCAGATGTGGTCTGATCAGGGACTACAACGTCTCATTTTAGAAAGACACTGCAAAGAGAAGCAGTGTACAAAGACAGTATGGAGAGTCAATGAAAGACTTGGAGACAATTCAGAATTTCTGTTTTCTCATTCACAGCTTTCTGCTCAAGCAATTTTTTTTTTTTTTTTAAAGAACAAAAGTGTTTTCTGGCTGCTAGCATCCTGAACCTTGAATACATGCCTAGTACTGAATATACTTGAAATACAAAGTCAGTAGTAAGCTTGATGACAGACTAATGGGAAGCCTTTGAACAAGGGACATAATGGTACACTAAAGCATGGCCTACGTGACTGAGATGGCTCCTAAAAAAACACATTCTGCCACAGGCTTAAAGTCAAGTATTAACGTTTACTGTGTCTAGGGTACCCCATTAAAAAAAAAAAGGTGGATTTAAGGATAGAATTACTCACTTCATTTTCTTAAAGAGTTGCAGTGTGTGACTTGAAGCATGCTACTCAAGTGCCTCTATTCCTTGAGTGAGAAGGCGGAATAACTTCACTAAGTGTGCACGTGCACCTCCCCCATCCTCCCAGATCTAGGTGTTGGCTCTCCAGGGTTACATATGTGGCTGGACAGATGTGTCTCTCTGATTCTCCCAAACACGGGGCCCTATCTCTCATTTCTGTGCCTTTGCACACTGCCTATCCCCCAGGTCTGGAATCTTCTCCTTTCTAACTTCTCCCTCTTACATTCTCTTGCTTCATTTAAGACTCAGCTTAAGCATCACTTCCCATGGGAGGACTCTCGCAAGTGCCCTAGTTGCTGGTGCCTAACCTTCTAAGCCTAACCTCTATCTCGTCTTTATATCTCTTATATGCACCCATTTGTGCATATGTTCTTTCCTCCATTAGAATTTAAGCTCCTTGAGGGCAGGGCCTATTTTTGCTTTTTCTTTATATCCCTAGCACTAAGCACAGGGCTTTGTACTTAGTAAGTGCTTAATAAATACTTATTGGTTGATCCAGTTTCCTTATGCCTAAAATGTGAATTTCAATAGCAACTACCTCACAAGATTGTTATGAGAATCAACAAGATGACTTGTAAAACCCTCTGGCAAACCTCAAAATGCTACATTTAAAGCTACCTACTATCTGTCAGAGATGTTGCCAAAGGGTTATTTGGTTGGGTATAGACTGGAGAGCCCTTTGGTATCTAACGAAGAAGAACTCCAGGTCTAGAGTCAGGAAGACCTTGCTTCAAATCTGGCCTCAGACACTTATTAGCTGTGTGAGCCTGGGCAATCATCTCTGTTTGCCTCAGTTTCCTCTACTGTGAAATTAACCACAGCACTTATCTCTCAGGGTTATTATGAAGATCAAATAAGATAATCTCTGCAAAATACTTAGCTGATTCTTAGAAAGTTGTCTCTCCTAACACAAACTGGGACCACTACCCTGTCGTCCTGGTACCTGGTCCTGACATCCATGCGGGCGTTCAACCTGTGGCGAGTTACCCAGCACTGTGTCCCCCAGCCACCTGACAGGTGCAGGGTGAAGGGAGGGCCTGGCTTGGAAACTGGCCTCGGAATAGTTTTGTTTCTGTGGGAAAGTAGCACATGGGAACAATGGAAATCAGTTTTTAGCCTAAGGCGGAAAAGATTTTATGAGGCCTTTGCTCCATTAGGGCCGAGGCAGCCTTTGCACAAGTAATCCAGCCCAGGGCCCAGGAGCACAGCCTCCTCTTACCCACCCCCACCCCCCATTACAGTAAGATAAACAATGGTTGAATCACGGGGGAAATGAATCTGAAAGACAAACATTTACTGAGAGGTTAGTGAAAGGACCAAACCCAGGCCAGTTCCAGCCTGTTTTTCCTCTGAGAGCCTTCCTGAGTGCTGCTATTTTTAGACCACAGCTGACAGTTATCTATGACAGGGGAGGGTATAAGAGGCTGCTGGGATGCCCAGATTGGTCAGACAGCTCCTCGGCCGGCAGGCAGCAGGCAGCTCCAGCACTTGGCGCTCAGTCCCCGCAGGGACCTGGGGCCTCTGCTCTCTGCTCTCTGCTCTCTTGGTGTCTGGCCCAGCCCAGCCGGGGAAGAGGATTCCCTTTCGGTTCTTAGGAAGCCATCGTGTTTAGCAAACTCAGACAGAGCCTCACAGCCTAGTCTCTGCAACTGCAGGTAAGAGTATATACTATATACAACTTGGGTTGGTGTGTGTTTGTGCATTTTTTAATTTATTAAAAATTACTTTCAATGGTCTTAAAAGACCAGCTAGAGCAGCTAGTTAAGTTTCAACAACAGGGTAACGAAAGTAGGCATTGAAAGACACGTATTTGAAAGTTTGTCTTAAACATTCTTGCACTCTGATTTTAGCGGGGAGAGAAACCTGGAGTCCAAAGCCTAGCGATGTTTCTGTGGAAAGTGAAGATGACTGTCTACCTCTCTGGGCCTCCAAGGTGCCTAGCTTCAGAAAAGGGAAACTAGGAAGCTATATACATACATACATACTTATATATATATATATATATATATATAATTTCCCATTCCAAATACACATGGGGTTAACTAGGGTAAAGACCATAGACTGAGAGTTAGAAAGGGAGCTTAGAGGCCATGAAATGACTCTTCCAGGTTCTCACAGCTATTAAGTATTTGAGGCAGGACTCAAAAATAGGTGAAGTGCAGGATAGAGTTCTGGGTTCAGAGTCAGAAAGAGCTGAATTCAAATCTTGGCTCTGACACTAACTAGTTGTATGGCAATGGATAAGTCATTTAACATCTGTCTCAGTTGCCCCATCTGTAAAACGGGGATAACAGCAGCACTTACCTCACAGTTTTGTAGAGAAAATTAAATGATAATATATGCAATAAATTTTGCAAATCAAAAAGTGCTGTATATAAATGCTCTTATAATTGCCTACTAAAAAGACCATCAATGTCTAGCTAGTGTAAGAAAGCCCTGCTAAACTAAGTATCCTAATTGCCCCCCCCTTCATCTCCCCTAATAGAGAGTGCTGTCAGGGGCATTGATTTGCAACTGGGACCTTTTAAATGACAAATGATAGTGAAAATAGTTTGCCTGCCAGGCTCCAGGATTCCTCATGAGCTATTTTCACAACTAATAGGTTGATTTTTTTTCCTTCCCTGTTATAAGGTATGAGGTCCAGGCTTCTGATTTCAGTGGCCCTCCTGCCAACCATAAGTGAGACCTCGGAGATGATGATGCTGGGAGGCGCCCAGGCTAAAGATGAGCTGCAAAATGATCTTCTGTCATCACAGAGCCTTGATGATTATGTGAAGTCCATCTGTCAGCTAGCCCAGCCCACTTCTGTGCTTGATGGGGCCCAACGTCTCCCCTACAACAGACCACGAAAGCCATGCAGGCTCAGAGGAAAGACCTTCAATGATGTGGCAGCAGCTTCACACAGTGAGAAGTCAAGCCCAACCTCATCCCTGCAGGACATCACTGCCCGTTTTAGTGGCCAGCATCCTACCCTGACTCTGGGCGACAACATTGACCCCCTAGACTGGCTTTTTGGGGAATCCCAACCAAAGCGACAGAGCTGGAAAGATGCCCTGAGGAGGACTGGCTTATCCACTGACCCTTCCCCTCTGCATAAACAGACTGAAACAGGAAAGTCCAGAGTTGCCCGCCGAGTCAGAGCCTGTGAAGCAAAGACCCCTGGGAGTCCCCTGACAAAACTGTCTGGTGAGTGGGGCAAGGCTTGGGAGAAAAGGACTCAACCCTCCATGTTGAACTCTGCCCTGGACTATTCCAGCAGTCCCCACCAGGGCAGGATACCCAGGTCTTTGAACTCAAACCTCCCAGTCATTTATGAACTGTGACCCCACAAATAAAGTCTTCTGTAAATAACATTCTGTTGTGGTGTTTTCCTGCATTATCAGTTTCTTATCTTGAAGAGAAAGCAATATATCCTGTCTTTGCTCTCCTACTGTCTCACAGTCCATGCCATTCTGGGGAGGGCTACTGAAGGGGAGAATTTTTCCATTAAGAGCTATATGCCTGTTTTGATTAAGCACTTGAAGTAGGTAGGATAGACTTTCCAGTTGGATAAATAACAATGGTAACAATACATCTTAAGTGTAGCTATCATATTACATATCATATACAAATAAGTACTGTGCCTAATAGATGGGGAAACTGAGGCTTAACAGAGACTTAAGACACAGCAGCCAGGTGGCACCATCTTAGGTTGTATTAATGGACACATACCAGATGAGGAGCCTAAGAGGAAAGGGACCATTGCTCTGGACTGGTCAAACCACATCTCTTTTGCTTTATCCAAAGATCTGAATCAAATGTGGGGCTTTATATAAGTTGTCTGATTATGGATATTAACATAGTTATCATACCAACAAAAATACTGACATTAAGATTAATAATCTAGGAGCTAAAAAGGGAAATGTAGTTAGGGTATAGCTGAAGGCAAAATAATAAGACTCTCAATGGATTTAAATGCTGTGAACTGTAAAAAAAAAAAAAAATAAATCAAAAACATTAGAGCCCAAACTCTTGGAAATTAATCAATCAGTAAGCATTGAGTTAGCACTTACTATGTGAGAAGTACTGACTTAGTCACAGGAGACAGAAATACAGAAATGAGATAGTCCCTGCACTCAAGAAGCTAACATTCTACTAGGATGATACAAACTCACAGATAATATATGTATGTGTGTGTGTGTGTGTATATATATATATATATATATATATATATACACATATACACATACACACACATACACACACACAATACACATATATAGATATCTATATATTATATGTGTATATATGTATACACACATGAAATAAAACAAAAAAGCACAATGATTGGTGGGGGTGGGTCAGGCAGTAACAGCTGAGGGAATCAGGGAAGGCCTCATGAAGGGGATGGTGCATGAGCTAAGCCTTGAAGGAAGTTGGGCATAAACCATAAATCTGGTAACTCCCAAACTCTCAATCATTACTGAGTTCTCTCCATTACACCCTGACCCAGTGATTAGTATTCTGTAAAGTTATCAAGCTGGACTCTAGGAATAACTGCACTAACAATCTTAGTCCAGGGCCCCAAAATATGTGAAACAGTAATTACACCAACCAACAGAATGTTTTCCCACTCTGGTGTTATGCTTCCTTAACATGGGGGGAACTCCCTTGAGGAGATTTGTGGGAGCTCAGAGGACAGTGTCAGCCTTCGGAAACCAGGCTCCATGTCTTATTTACCTTGGTCTCTCCCTTGGGAGAGGCAGCCTCAGAAGCAGGAAGATCCAGGTTCAAGTCTCAAGCCTGACACATGCTTGTTGTGTGATTCTGGCCAAGTTACTTGGTCTTAAAGAGTTGCCCAGAGCACTAACAGGTTATCAGCTGTAGAAAAGATGCCAACCTGCATTGGTAGAGGGAGTCTCTTCATTTAGAAAGTTCCTGATAATAATGAAATCATAGCTCTAGTCGTTATCCCCTGTCGTGGAGCCTAGCACACTACTTTAGACATCTGTTTCAGGAGTGAGTGAATATTGAGACCAGCTTTGGAAGTAAAGCATCTTTTCAATAATTGCTTTGACTAACTCATCTGGAACTTCCATTCAAAGGAATCTTATTGAGATTTTGGGAAAGGATATGAAAAAGGGAATGAGAGAAGAAAAGGTTTCCTGCTCTTATCCCAGCCTACCCAATATCAGTATGTATCCTCCCCATAGACGGAATATTGTGCAGAATCATGTATTCTAAGAAGTGGAAGGGCCCTTAGAGTCATGTAACATCTTATCCCTACCTGAAACTAGAATTCCCTTCGACAATACAGCCAATAACAGGTCCTTTGCCCTCTGTTTAAATACATGCAGATAAATAGGCCATCCCATTCTTGGACAGTTCTACTTGTTAGGGAGGATTGTCTTAGTGATAGGAATAGGGACTAGATCTGTAATGTTACTGGTATAGGAAATTCCTGGCTGAAAACAACTTCTGTCTACCAAGACAGCTTGGCACATCCTCTGCACATCATAGTCTTAGAGAGATGATTAATCAAACATGCAACCCAGGCCCCCAACACTTAAGTATGAATGTAGTCTGAACCAGATTAAAATGTAATTGGGAAATAGCAAAATAAATAAAAACACAGTAAAACACAGCTGTTAATTTGTCATTTTGTAAGTCAATATGCTGACCACATGGATCCTTAGGTTTGCTTCAGTGATTCCCATCTATATTTGAATTTGACACCACTGTCCTAGAGCACTGAGAGGTTAAGAGACTAGACACAGCCGGTATGTATCAGACAACCAATAAACATTTATTAACAATCTACTATGTGCCGAGTACTGAGCTAAATGTTGGAGATTAAAAGAGGCAAAAGACAGTCCCCATCCGGGCTCTCAAGGATCTCACAGTCAGAGGTAGGGCCAAATCCAGGTCTTCCTAGGCTATTCGTCCTCTCATGTTTCTCAGTAATTTATTATAGTGTTATTCCTTTTCTTATCTTAAATGGAAATCTGTCTTCTTGCAAACCTCTATCCACTGGTTCCAGATTTGTTCTCTAGAACCACAAAGAATAAGTCTGACCCCCTTCCATGTAACAATCATGCAGATATATGCAGACAACCATCATATGATCCTTAGGCCTGCCCCTGCCAATAATCATGATCATTTCTTCAAACAATTTTCATGTAACATAATTTCGAGTTCCCTTATCCATCTGGCTGCCTTTCTTTGAGAACACTGTAGCTTGCTCACATCCTCCTAAAATGTAGCACCTAGAACTGGGCACAATAATCCAAGTGTGGTCTGACCAGAGCAAAGTGGGGCTTCCCCCCCCCAATTCCCTCCCACTTCCCTTAATTAACTACTTTTAGTGGTCATGTCACATTATTGAATCATACTGAGTTTACAATCTTCCATAATCCCTTTTTCCTACAAAGTCAAGGCTAGATACTGAACATGATAATTAGTACTGTTGTTAATGCACTGTGGTGATTAACCAGTGACATGCAATAATTATGTGGCCTGATAGTGGTGTGAGGCATTAGACCCAGCTCCTGGGGCACACACTGACCTCAGAGATATCAGTTTTCTGCTCTCTGTCTTTGCTCAGAGAAGCTGAACAAAAGCAGCGTCTTCCCTACCCCCACCCCTCACTCACAAGAAGAAAGGGGAGAAATATGATCTCTGACCTCCCTTCCTGGCCTAAATTTCGATTAGTCATTGATTTTATCTTCATGCATTGCTTTCCGTTGCCTGAGGAATGATGTTAAAGAATTATTATGGTGCATAGGTCATATGTCAAAGGTGTATATATGATCATGCCCTTATGGGATCTTCAATATGGGGAGACTTTCCCTGCAATGGCTATCTAAAATTCATCCAGCATATATACCAGGGGGTCTTAACTGGGAGTCTATGGAAGCCCCCAAGAAGTCCATGTATAGATTTCAGGGGGTCCATAAAGTTGGACAGGAAAAAAATTATATGTTTCTTTTCACTAATTCTTAGTTTCCTTTGTAATTCTATGTATTCAGTTTTATTCATCTAAAATATCGCTCTGACAAGGGGTTCTTGTTACAGTGTCAGTAACAGACCAGACAACAGGGATGCATTTTAACCTTTTCCCCTGTGCTTTTTCATGTCTTCTGCTAGGCCCCTTTACTTCTAAAGCCTTTTATTTTGGACATGATAAGTATTTGGCCTGGCGACACCATTTAAAACGTCCTGAAGTTTTTACAAATCAATGTTCTGTGCAGGTGATCATGGTCAACAGTTCAATACATAATGGTCTGATTCCATTTCAGTTTACTGGTTGAATTCTCCAGGCTATTATGAGGTCTGCATTTGTTACATTTAGATTTTTCCACTGTTAGTTTAGGAACGAAGAAAAGCTTTTGATGTGTAATTCTAGCCAGCCATGCCTGGTGGTTACATTATTATTATTAACAATACCATATTTTACATTATTAATTGTTGTTGTTCTTCTTCTTACAAGAAGCATACGGCAGGGAAAAGTAGAGGAAGTATTCATATACAAAAGTTAACATGTCTGTTGTTCCCATCCAGGACAGTAACAAAGTAGGTCTGAGGCCAGCAGGTGGCAGGCTAAGGAAGGAGAAGGCCCTTCCCAGACTAGGACACTCGGGTCCTCCTGACTCCAACTCCTTTGCTCTGTTTCCTTTCTGCCCCTTTCAATTCCCCTACCCCTAAATAAATTAATCAATGAAGCCTTTGCTATAGTCTTTCAAGGACAAGTTAAGAAACTTAATAATTGATAGAAAGTCTAAATTAAGGGGGCAGGGTCTGGAAGACTCATCTTCCTGAGCTCAAATCCAGCCTCAGACACTTACTAGCTGTATGACCTTGGGCAAGTCCCTTAACCCTGTTTGCCTCAGTTTTCTCATCTCTAACATTAACTGGAGAAGGAAATAGTAAACCACTCCTGTATCTTTGTCAAGAAAACCCCAAATGGGGTCATGAAAAGTTGGACACGACTGAAACAACTGAACAGCAACAAATAAGTTAAGAAAGAGAACAAGGTATGTAGTGGATAGACAGTCAATCAGGAAGACAATATGTCCAAATTAACACGGATTAGCCGTGTGACCCTAGACAAGCTGCTTAACCTCTCAGTGCCCACACAGGAGAACTTTGTGAGACCTAAACTGCGCATAAATTGCTGATATGCTGCAGTAAGAGAAGTTTCCATACTGGGAGTAGTCTACACTGATGGAATAATAGGTCTGAACAAAAACAACAAAAAAAAGTGACAGAGCTAAGGCATTAGTTTATGGAGAACCGTCCCTCCATTGTCCCCCATTTCCCAGCCCAGGAAGTCTCCCCGTCTCTCTATAGATCTGGGCCAAGGATGTGCTCATAA